GTGGTATATCATTCATCACACAATGAAATGCTACGATAATATAACAACGTTTGTGTTGTTGATTTCCATCGCATGTACTGGTTACCTTATTATATATTTATATTCTCCGTTTGATACCCTAATGCAAAGGCATATTAATCCACTGTCCACATTCAGGTAAGACAATGCTTTCATTGCAATATGCTTCTTCCTTAGAGTGAATCATTCATCGACAAGAAGACAGATTGTCATAAAACAGTGTGAGAATCATGGATTGTATTACACATGTTATTAATATTATGACGACGTAATATACTTACCTTGTTTTTTATTTTACAGAAAAATCAAAAATTATCATAGGTTTCGTTCTGAAATGTCGCCTAAAAAATGTCTGGAGCATTTCCATGATCCACCGAAATGCCAAGCAAAGAACAAACTAGTTTACATCAAAACTCACAAAACAGGCAGTACTACTCTGGCGTCTATTCTGGAACGATTTGGTTATACAGGAAATCTTACAATGGCAGTACCTGAAATTAGACATGGTTTTCCTCGCACTAATCTCTTCAACCGCAGTATGGTTTGGAAAATTGATAATATTAGTAGTTTTGATATGCTTACAAATCACGCCAGATACAATCGTCCAGAACTTGATGCACTGATACCAAATGCAACATATATAACAATATTAAGACATCCTTTGGCGCAGTTTGAATCAATGTTTGGTTTCTTTAATTGGGGAAGACATATACATACCAAGGATCCAATCGCTACATTTGTAAACGATCCTAAATACATAAATGCCACCATTTACGGTAGAGCAACACATAATTCACAACTATTTGACCTTGGCTTGAGTTTAAAACAGACACTTGATGAGGACACAGTAAACAAAAAGATACAATCACTAAACAAAGAGATGGATTTAGTATTAATAACTGAATATTTTGACGAGTCGCTACTTATATTACGTGATTTACTTTGCTGGTCAGTGGATGACATATTGTACATATCCAATGGTGTACGAAGTCTACATTTACGACGAAATTTTGACCGCGGCTGTCAAAAAGGAAATACTGAAGCGATGCAAATCTGATTTGTACCTATATCATCATTTTCAAAGGTATTGTTAAACAGATACAGAAGTATGGTGTGTGTTTTGAACACAACCTTCGTGAATTTCGTAAACTCAAAATGAAGTATTTGAAATGTGCATTGAAAATGTGTCAAGCAACTAAAAAAACGTGTTGTTGAACCCGTTCTGAAGAAAAATTCTACAGAGTTCTGCGTTAATCTTTGGAGAGGAGACGTCACATTTACTGAATTAAACAGGAAAATGCCCACAATTTAAGTTAATAAAGAATGACAATATAATCTGTTGCAAACCAGAACAATTTGTTCACAACATCAAATGACACGCATGCAACATAATGCTTTAACGATTTCAGATAGGGAGACGAGGTAAAAATAAATGTTATGTTAATATTTTTGAAAATCAGGCAGATTATAACAGCACTGATGCTCCTTATTCTACAGCCGTTGAACAATGTCAAATCAAATAACTTGCATCATAGGTGGTGATGATAAACTGCACAGA